GCTTCTTTTGTGTTCTTGATCTTCAGACAAACAAACAAACTCCTTTAGAATGAAATCCCCAAGGAAAGATTTGATCTTGTCACTACGATCGATCCTTTCAGATCCAAACCTTGTCGGGGCAAAATGAATCTGAAAGAAAGATCAGATCTTTCCCAGGGAAACGATGTTGCATGACACGAGAATTCGGGGGAGGATCACAAAGTTTTGTTGTCTCTTGTTATATATCAATGTTTCCATCTTTGGATTCTCTCAAATTTGGATAAAAAGGATTTTATCTTTTTCTCCTTCTCTTATTTTTAGGGTTTTCTTCTCTGTTCGTTTATTTGGAGAAGAAGCCAACGCGTCAGCTTTTCTAACAAACCTTCCAATCAAATCCTATACTCAATTCACATAGTTCGTGGTAAGCATGAAAGGATTATATGTACAATATAGTCATTATACTATATAATATGAACAATATGAAGACATTAGTTACATAAATAGAGATATATACATGCACTCACATACACGATTGACCATTAAACAGGCTAAAATTGTTTCAATGTTTTGACCAATCTTACAGATAAGCACAATATTCTCAAAATCTCTATGATTCGGAAACCAAAACTAACAAGAGAAACCTAAGAACTAAAAAGTTCATGATTATGTCTGAAAAATCTAACATTGTCCAACATAAAACAGAGTTATCTATAGCTACGACTTATTTCATTGCAGACAAGTAAAGATTTTCACCTGAAGAGAGAAAAATGATAAATTTGAAAATACCAATCTCATTACGATCAAAGCTGTATTGATTCATTGAGGCAATGCGGCTTCGACTTCATTCCACAACTCGACGTTTCTGGTGAACTTCTCTTTTACTTGTGCAATGAGCGCCTTTGCTTCTTCGACTTTCGAAGACGAAGCTAGCCCGTTAACAAGCGATTTCATGATACTGAAACTCGGGACCCAATTCTTCTCCATACTCTCTTTACAAAGACTCAAAGCCGTCTCAAAGTCACTACCTTTGCACAGGTAATATATCAGAGTGAAGTAACATTCACTATCAGGTTTATATCCTCTGTTCACCATAACCTTAAACAACTTCTTCGCCTCGTCCAAATCATTCCCGTTGCAAAACCCGTGGATCAAATGGCTATATGTAACAGAATTCGGTTTCATCCCTGCACAAAACATCCCATCAAGCAAAGCCTTTGCTTCTGCAGTTTTCTTCCTTTTACATAAACTCTGAATCCTAATGTTGTAAGTCGAAACACCGACATGAACACCGCGTTCTTTCATCATCGCCAAAACTTTCCCTACCTCTTCGTTCTTATCCTCATGGTAAAACCCAGCAATCATAAGACCAAAGCTAGAACTCGTCGGCTTAATCCCTTTCCTCTCCATCTCTGCAACGATCGAATACGAAGAGCTAGCAGAACCGGATTCGCAAAACACTTTGATCATACGGTTGTAAGTTTCCAGATCAGGTTCGATTTTGTACATCTTAGGGAACTCAATGTAAACTCGTTTCGCTTCCTTGTAATCCTTAGCTACTAAACAAGCAAAGAGAAGAGCGTTCAAGGATTTTACCGTACGAGGGATACCGAATTTCTCGAGCTCGTTGAACATCCTTAGAGAGTGGTCAAGCATATCCGCCTGAGCATACAGAACAATGGCGTGAGCAGCGAAACGTTCCGATTTGAGATCAGATCGATCTGAAATTAATCCGTCGAGGAGGTTTGTTACGGCGGCGAAGTGTTTCTTCTCCGCTAGGTTTTCGACGGCGGCGGAGAAAGCGACTCGGTCGATGTGGCAATCGGGAGTGAGAGAAGCTGCACGACAGATTTCTAGAATCCGATCTGGATCTTTCTCGGATTTGAGAAGAGAAAGTGCGGCTTTGCTCTTTTGCTTGCTGGTGAGTGGGGTTTTGGAATCTGGAGAGAGGATCGATGAAGCGGAGGCGAGAGAGCGGATTTGAGGGGAGGGATTGAGGTGTCTTAAGAGAGAGGAGGATGATCGGAGACGAGAGAGTAACGCCATTGATTTGAAGGATTAGGGTTTTTTTTCGATGTTGCAGAAGAAATGGAGAAGATTGTGAAAATGAAGTGACGGAGAAAGAAGAAGCGATATAGGGTTTTGGCAGATTTGGAAATTTTTTAAAAAGTCTTCACTATGGACGGTTGAGATGAGTTTACAATAAAAATTAAATAAAAAAAATTTGGATCTTTAAGATTCGGGAGATTTGAACCCGACGTATATCGAACACGCAGCCTTCTGATCTGGCGTCAGACGCGCTACCATTGCGCCACGGATCAGATGGAGAGTAGCTGATCAGATTTGTTAAAATACATAGGTTTCAATATAGTAAAGAAAATTGTTTTGTAAACATATAAAGTTATGTCCTCTCATTGGGTATAAATGGTAACCGCTGAATTACTGTTGAGTTGCTGAATTTGCTGAATTTTTAGTGATTTCTTGCGGAATTTGCTGAATAATATCAAACTTAAATAGTAACTACGGAATTTGTAAAATTTGCTGAATCTGCTGAATTTTTGAAAAAGTAGTTAATTATATAAAGATAAATTTCAAAAATGCCATTTTTCAAAAATACCATATTTTTAAAATCTATGTAAAAATACCACTTTTTAAAAAAACAAATTTCATTATATCATTTATGTTTGGGTTAATTATGTTGTATTAGAGTTTAGTTTGGAGGGTTTAGGGGTCAAAACATTTTTTAGGGTTATAAATTTAAGTTTTACGCTTTAAAAATCCATAATTAGTGGTATTTTTGCAAACAGACATCCTTAAATGGTATTTTTACAAATGTACACACCAAAATAACATTTTTGCAATTGCCCCTTAAATAAATTAATAAATTGATAAAACAAATTTATATACATAATTTATGATATAATATTTTGCTATTGAAATTGAATTATTTTTTAGTAAACCTAATTTTTAAAATATTACAATATTATTTTAGAATTATCAAGCAAATTTAGTAAGATTTAATCACACTACATATATACTTAGGGGACAATTGCAAAAATACCACTTTTGGTGTGTACATTTGCAAATATACCATTATGGGTTGTCTATTTGTAAAAATGTCACT